ATTTTATATTAGATTATATTTCATTTATCTTATTTTTTTTTTGAAGAATTTATTGCCGATCACAGTGGCCTCGTGGTCTAAGGCATGAACTGTCTTCGTTCGCTCGAACGTTGGGATCATGGCTTCGAATTCCACGCAAAACATGGATATTTGTGTACGTTCATTCTATGTTCGCGTTGTTCTGTGTGTAGGCAGCGGCCTTGCGACGTGCTGACCCCCGTTCAAGGAGTCCTACCGACTGTGTATAGGATGAAGAAACTGAAAAAGCGGCCAACGTCCAACAAAATGACTGTAGAGCCATATATATATATATATAGATTAGACAGATAGATAGACAGACAGAAGAATTTGTTACCTGACTGAAGGTTCTGTCTGCGTTACATTTTTGACCTCAAAGATTCGCGCCGCCATCATGTCTGTAAATGCTGACTCACAAGTAATGTTTTATGTAGAACGTACCGGTGTATCCTCGTACCAAATGTCACACGTCTAGCCCCTTTGATACTTCAGTTACCACCAAACCGAAAGATGAAGACTTGGAAATTTTGTAGGGCTCCTTATACAGGGGATCGGCCCATCGCAAGACCTGTGCCTATACAAGGCAACACTACACGGCAAAACTCAAATTTTGAGCGGTGTTACAATCTCCTGGCCCAGAGATCGATGTGCAGCAGTCCTAGTAAGATTTCTATTCGGCCGCGCCATAGCTCAAGCAATTAGTCGCTGGCTTCCCACCGCGGCGGCCCGGATTCGATCCCTGGTCTGGTCAAGTGGGATTTGTGGTGGACAAAGTGGCTCTGGGGCAGGTTTTCTCCTAGTACTTCGGTTTCCCCTGCCAGTCTTCATTCCACTAACTGCTCCACAATCACCCTCACCTATCATCTGGGGCTGGTACAATAGGCCAGAAGTGGCCGCAGTACAAGGGACTTAGTCCCACCCCACTAGCAATACAAAAAAAGATTGCTATTCTATAATTGTACTCTCTTGCTCGTTGCTCTAGTGGGAAATTTCGAAACGGTTTGCTGTACCCGATTATAAATGTCGCTGCAGTTCGTTATCGAAGGATTTATGTCGCTGTATGTTGTGTAATCTTGAATATAAAGGACAAAGAAATTAGTCTCGGTCTGATGACTGACCGCTCTCTGTAACGCTGAGCCTGGTTTACATGTGAATGTGAACCATATAAGTGACTGCTAGCGCGGTGATGGTATGTACCGCTTGAGGCTTCAGATTCATCTTTATTTAAAGGTAGAGTTCGTACCTCACAGGAAACACTAGTTATCTCCATAACGAAGACCAGCAGGAAACAATCGATGTATATTGTGAGGACCATACGAAATACGTAAACGTATTCTGTGGTAAAAATGCAGGTTTCCTAATTGTTAAATTGTGTGGTAAAGCTATCCCTGTAACATGCCGTCGAGACTCCCACATTTTCTACACAGTCGGCTCACAGACGGCGGTGAGGTAAGGTAGAGCTATCGCTGTAACAGGCCGTGGAAGCACGTAGGGTTGTGAGACGTCGAGGCTCCCACATTTTGTAGACAGTCGGCTCGCAGATGGCGGTGAGGTTAAGTAAAGCTATCCCTGTAACAGGCCGTGGAGGCCCATAGGGTTGTGAGACGTCGAGGATCCCACATTTTCTAGACAGTCAACTCACAGATGGCGGTGAAGTCGTCACCCTTACCCGCTGGCCTCCTTTTATACCCTCCCCTGGAAGATTCCTGGTACTCATTTCTGTTAGAGGCTGAGTCGATCCCAGGGACTTAGTGCGACTGGAAGGATTATGAGGTCAAATGTTTCATTAAATGATTAACGACTTACCTTTAACTGTTAACTTTTCGGTGAGTCCTTTACTTTCGAATTTGTTACAGCTGGGATATAACGGTGTTTAATCCGTTGAGAGTCAAGAGACGTTTCGGAGGAAAATGTCTCCTCCATCTTCAGGTTCGAAGAATATGCCGAGCAAAGAAATCAGCATGAAACAGGTAGAAAGCAGACATCTGAATTCCTCCAAATTTCTGCAGACAGTGTGTTCTGACACCGTGCAGTATTGTACATGCATACTGATGTTTCGAACAGATATACTGCCTCCATATTTACGGTTGAAGCGAGAGAAGCTTAGACATGCTGATGACTAGAGTGTAATTTTGTTAAAAATGTTCTCATAGCTATTCCGGTCACAGATAAACTGGTGTACGTAACAGTGCATGGAAGAAAGTGGATAAATTCCTGACGGAAATGGAAACCTTGTTCACTGTTTGTCTTTTTATGGCACTGCCTGTGCGCCCAGAACGTGCAGGTGTGGGGTGCCGCAAGAACATAAAGCCGGCTGGTTATATTCCTGCATTACATATGTTTTTGTCGTCTGAAGTTACTTATATATACAGCTGTTCAAACATTCGAAAATAAATTTCTCAAAATTATTACAAAACTTCGCTGTGGGCATAATAAACATGTCCCCAGCAAACAAAGTTTCACTTTTCACAGCCATTAAAATAGTTAGTCACCTAAACCAGCAAACGTCCTGAGGCGTCAGACCACTGACATTGCATTGACTGCTAGATAGGCCGCTTGTACACGTAAAAGGAGATGAAATCCGGTGTCACGCCTCAGAAATTTGCTTCCGATTTCTCTAAATCGCTCTTTTCTGACGGACGTCCCCCCACAAAATTCTTTCTGTTACCTAGGCAGAACGTCCGCCTATGGAGAGGGGCGGCGTGGTGATGAATATGATAAATCGCAGTGATGAGGACAGCACAGAAGCGGGATTCGAAGTCGAAACCTTGCGAGCCTCCAAGTTACATCAGAAGATGTCAGGACACTCGAGCTAGTGTCTGTTCAGTGTACGAGTAGATTAAGTATGCAAATTGTGTTTTTATGTTGGTTCCATACAGAGAATTTATTCTCTAGTGATGACTTCTGTACTTACAGTTCTCTGGTTTTAACAACTGTAGTCGTGAAACAGTGCATGAACATAGGTGCAAGGCCTCATGTGTGTGGAGTATTTTTAAATGTTGTCATAACTCCCGCTGATGGTTTATGTTGTATGGTTTATATATCCTGTCATGTGTTGGTACTGGTATCTGGAGATAGGGAATAGCTCTATCGATTAGGCGAAAATGACTAGGTTCCACCTGAAGACGGAGGCAGAATCAGTTCTCCGAAACGTTGTGCGTAATAAATAAAAGCAGGGCGATGGATAATGTCCAGAAAAAACAGTAACTGTATGAACCTAACCCATATGCACACATCCAATTTCCTGGACATCAGTTTTAATATTATCCTGCCGTCTCGTTTCCTTCAGTTTTTGTTCACCAGATGTGTGCATCAATCGTCAATCCCATGGGGGTTTGTTTTTCGTTTCTTTATTTTTGTTTCGGTTTTTTAAAAGACGGGTTCGTTTGTTCAGACGACAGAACGACGAATGATCGGATGTTTAGTGAATTTAAAAGGAAGCTTTCATAAGTTGCTTCGTATAAAGAGCGTCAGTGTGAATAAATGTTTTGTAAAATTTCAAATGGTTCTCACGATTGTATATTACACGTAATGTTTCTGGGATTTGTTCACTTTCCAATGATTCAGAAGTATCGGAAAGTGGTCCAGTTTGGTCTGACGGACCCTTTTGGATAGGTGCCTCGGTATGTTTTTGCCTGCGGATAGAAATATAACCAAGTTCCGAAACACTGTGCTCTTCTGTTAAGACATAAAGAGACTGTGGGAAAAGTTTAGAAACCGTGGAGCGCCGATTCTGATGCAAGTCCCTTGTACTGCTGCTACTTCTGGCCTATTGTACCAGTCCCAGATGATATGTGAGGGTGATTGTGGCGCAATTGGTGGAATGAAGATTGGCAGGGGAAACCGAAGTGCTCGGAGAAAACCTGCCTCAGCGCCACTTTGTCCACCACAAATCCCACTTGACCAGACCCGGGATCGAAACCGGGCCGCCGCTGTGGGAAGCCAGGGACTAACCGCTTGAGCTATGGCGCGGCCTTCTGATGCCATTTAGTATAATCTAAAGGGTGCCCATGATGATAAATAACACTCATGATTACTGGGCTTTTGGGCTTTGTCTGTTTCCGTCCCCAGGTGAAGGGAGACATCTACTCTTTTTTTGGTCCCTTAAAAAGTGACAGCATAACTCCTTGTAAGGGACCCAACATGGGGCCGCGCCCTAGTTCAAGCGGTTAGTCGCTAGCTTCCCACCGCTGAGGTCCGGGTTCGATCCCGGGTCTGGTCAAGTGGGATTTGTGGTGGACAAAGTGGCGCTGAAGCAGGTTTTCTCCGAGTACTTCGGTTTCCCTTGCCAATCTTCATTCCACCAATCGCTCCACAATCACCCTCACCTATCATCTGGAGCTGGTACAATAGGCCAGAAGTGGCCGCAGTACAAGGGGCTTAGTCCCACCCCACTAGCAATAAAAGGGACCCAACAGAGTGTGTCGTCTCCCTTTCACCTGAGGACGGAAACAGGTTCGGTTTCCATAAATTTGTGTTCTTTAGAATTCCGGACGATGGACGGGGGTACGCGGTAGAGTAATTGGTTGAGGCACTATGGTACAAGTCGGAAAGTTGCGGGTTCGAGTCCCGATGAGGTGATTTTTTTTTTCAATTTACCTAATCTTACCAGCCGCAATATGACCCTGGAGTCGACTCAGCCTCTAACAGAAATGAGTATCAGGAATCTTCCTGGGGGTTAAAGGGCGGCCGGCGTGTAAGGCTGACAGCCAACTGTGAGCCTATTGTCTCGACATCTCACAACCCTATGTGCTTTCCCGGCCTGTTGCAGGGATAATTTTACCTTTACCTTTACAGGACGATGGAAGAAGTTTGTATTATTTATTTTGACGTAAGTGATAGTTATTGACATTGAAAGCTGACGTTCATAGATAAGGCATAAGTTGCAGGAAGTTAAATTTCACATATCGATTTTTTCTACAGCGATTATATATCGCAGTCGCTTGATTAATATCGTATACGATCGAGTAATCGATACTTGCTTCAGTAGTCTCCCAGCTTCCTTGCTGCGATAGATGTCGCACTTGAAGAGCGGTTTGGTGTATGGCTGCTCTGGGTCGAACTGGCCCGCTGCCTTGCACAGCGCGCTGTGCAGCTGGAACTGTAGCACGGTGCCCACAAAGTGCCTGCAACACAACAGAGCTCTACATGTCACTGCGTTCCACGTATGGAGACACACACACACACACACTTCGTCAGAACGCGTCAAAGCACAGCGGTGACTACGTGCAAAATAGACGATAGATAACCTATGCATTTTGGCCGTCACGTGTGTATAAGGAATACTCGCCTCAGAGATGTAACCCTATGTATAGTCCGGCGGTTCACACACTGTTCAGAGGATACATACTGCCTCCATCTTCAGCATAAAAAAGTAATAATTATATGCAGGTAACCATCAAGAAACAGGCATACATATTTGCTCTCAAGATGAAGGTAGTATGTTCACCAGGAACGCCTGTGGACTACCGGACTACACGGTGTCACATCCAAGCAGATGTAGGTTTGTAGAGGAGACGTAATGTGTTTCCTGTGAGGCACGGACTGAACTCTGCATTCTCCCCACACAGTGTATTTATGTGTTCCGCATGGATCCCACAGTAAACAGCGACTGTTTCCCTAAACAGCATTAACCGGGTGGGCTTTGTAGCGGAGACGTAATGTGTTTCCTATGAGGTACGAACTGAACTCTGTATTCTGCCCACACAGTGTATTTATGTGTTCCGCATGGATCCCACAGTAAACAGCGACTGTTTCCCTAAACAGCATTAACCGGGTGGGCTTTGTAGCGGAGACGTAATGTGTTTCCTATGAGGTACGAACTGAACTCTGCATTCTCCCCACACAGTGTATTTATGTGTTCCGTATGGATCTCACAGTAAACAGCGACCGTTTCCCTAAACAGCATTAACCGGCTGGGCTTTGTAGTGGAGACGTAATGTGTTTCCTGCGAGGTACGAACTGAACTCTGTATTCTGCCCACACAGTGTATTTATGTGTTCCATATGATTCTCACAATAAACAGCGACTGTTTCCCCAAACAGCATTAACCGGTTGGGCTTTGTAGCGGAGACGTAATGTGTTTCCTGCGAGGTACGAACTGAACNTGGAGGTGGGTGGTCAGTTTCACGCCCTGACTGCTTTACCCCGAGGAAAGGGCCCCCCGGTACCCATTGGATAGGAAGATTGGTGGGCCCCAGAGTCGGTCTGGAACGACATGGAGAGGAGAAAAATCTTGCGTCTACCGGGACTCGTAGTTATATGAACGAAAAATTCACGTTTCCGCAAGTATCGCGGTTTTCGAAACAATTAAATGATAGTGAGCGAAGCTAGCAGAGCTGTTACGCATGCGTACATTTCATAACTTGGCTTCCTGAGGCAAGTGTTGTGACGGTGCTTTAAACTAGGCCATCCCTGCCACCTGCCCACACCCACACGCTTCATACACCATCAGACAATCTCTCAGCTAACATTTCGTGGTCATGTACAGAAACATCTTGACTGCCTCTTCGTGTAAGTTGAATATTCACAGTCTGTACCGGTCACGATGTCTGAATCCGTGTAACATAGGGGACAGAAATTGACTTTAATTAGTTAAGTCATTATTTCTTCTGAACCACGGTTGTCTCGTTACCTTGTGCTTAGCTTGACATGAAAACGAAGTCCACCTTTCTTAATCTGCTACCGGTAGATGGCACTGAAGGAAGCAGTATTTTTTTTTCCTTGGCACTACAGCCTAAGTGGGCCTAGGCCTACCTCCATGAACTTCTCCATTCACTTCGGTTTTTCTAGATCTTACACATTCGGTAGGACTCCTTGGGCGGGTGATCAGCTCGTCTCAAGGCCTCTACCTGTACACAAACACAGAAAAACGCACACACAAACTAAACATCCATGCCCTGAGTGGGATTCGAACCCACGATACCGGTTTCCAAGGGAGCGAAGACAGTACATGCCTTAGACCGCTCGGCTACCGTGACCGGTAGCAGTAATTATAGAAATGGAATTTTGCTCATTAAATTCTGGACCCAACCTATTCGCATAGGGCATAACTTTGCTTGTCATGTATACGCCCCACTGGATGTATTACGCGTCGAGAGCCAGTTTGGTGTACAGCGTATGTCTGCGTTCAGAGAAGACTTAGTTACCGTTAGTGGCGATGATGGCGCATTTATTTTTTGCACGTTGACGATGTGAACGTTATAAAAGCCATTGTTTGTATTTGTATGATTGTATGTGTGGGATAAAAGAGAAACTAGGAGTACATGCAAAGTGGTCTGGTACGTCAGTTTCGAGCATGGAAGCTATCCAGGACCTGAGCAGTACTTATTAGCCTGGATGTTCGGAAACGAATTTGTTTGTTTGTACGTATCCATGCTTGTGCTTACAGGGACAGCAGACTCCAAGGAATACATCGAAATAATACTCGTACGGTACATGGCACGGCTCTGTCTTCCGTTGTTTGTCTCATGTAACGGTACATTTAGGACGATATCGAAATCGGTTTAACGGAAAGGAGAGGGAGGAAAGAAGGGAGAAAAGAATGGCAATAGTACAGACAAGTCAAAGGCTGGAAAAGGAATACGGGAAAAGTGGGGATTCAGAGGTACGTAAGTTTAACACACGAAGAGGTTTCCCGTTGAATTTTCAACGGGCATTGTACTAAAATCGTTAGAATAGGTCACCACACACGAGGCGATCAAAGTAGAAAGGGTGAAACTGCATTGAAAATGGATGGGCAAGTGGTGACTGGCAGTCCCTTGAGGCCTCGAATGTAATGTCACGTGATACAGTGACTATAGACGGAGTTTGGATTAGCAGTCGGATTTGTTGGACACTTACACTCGTAACTACAAACAACTACGGCAGTCTCCATGAGTTACATGCTCCAAACATCACTGTAAGTATAAAACACAAGATTCTTCTCAGTCTTCAATAGCCGTTGCTTGGTAGTGGCTTCCAACGACGAATATTCCCCTTCCTTCGGATTACCGAACTGTTTCCGGCCTCAGCTACCAACATATGACTTCTCCCAACTGCATCTCTCAATAGACTCAACCGAAAATCAGAGTTATGTTACGATTGACGGTCGGTCTGTCAGTCTGTCAGTCTGTAAGTCTCTCTTGGTGTCGAGCCCTCATCTGTGGCCCAAAACCACTTTTTATTACTGTCACAGTGGCGGGTTTCCTGATATGGAGAGGACGGGTCTGTAGTTTATAATTGCTACTGGCCCTCGCCAGCGGAGTCATTCTTGAGTGCGAGTCCCGCGGGACTCATGGCCATATTTTACTGTCTCAGATTCGAGACTCCCCCAACCTGGAGGGCCAGGTCCCTGTATTTGTATCCCCCAGGAACAGGGTGGCCCAGTTATATCCTCAGGCACCGGGTTCCCTTTTCGTTGCCTCCTGCGACTCGCAGGTGGAGGTATTCGAACCCGCCTCCAAGTCGGAAAAGCGACGTGTGCACAGAGTTGTTTCCCAGCAGTGGCGGTTGTACTGTTGCCTGTTTACACGGCTCTTGGTAATGGGCCTACACTTTCATATCTCTCCACCACGTATGTTCGCTCCGGTACCTCTCTTTGGCGAGGCACGGTCGAGATTAACGCAGGAAGTTAAGTAAAAATAGCCCTTATTGTTGTCCCGTTTGAAGCGTAATTGTAATGTGGCGATAACTTCTAGTAGAAGTTGCCGGTACCAAATTTCATGAAAATTCGTTCAGCGGTTATCGCATTGTTACACAGAAGACGTGTTAACAGAGTGCGAGACGGGACGAAGCTACTGTACGCGCGTTGGTTTCGGGGTTCTCACAGCCAAGACAGACGGCAAGTTCTGTCTACTGGGTTGTAACGCTGTGGAGTTAGGTGAAAGTCAAGCGACGTTTCGTAGGGGTGTATCGCCTCCAAGTTCACGGTCGACGAGTAAACCAAGAAAAAAAAACCGTAAAAAGGTGACCGCAAGAATCAACCTTGAAGATGGATTCAAAATATTACTCCGAAACTTCAGTTAGCTTTCATCGGGTTACACAACGTTCAGTGCGAGATGGTATAAATCTTTAAGAAGAATTTTTGCAGCTTTTCATTGCAGTGGACCTGGTCTGCAGATGCAGAGAACAAGCCTCAAGACGACGCAGAAATAATTGTGATTGGTTTGCTATTTAACAACGCTGCATCACTTAAGATAGATGAAAGCGACAATGCTGAACCTGATGGCTACGCCATATGAGGCATGTATTATCTTAGTCCGCCTAAGAAAGTGATGAAGGATACTATCCCATTTGTGGCATGAATGTTTGTGTGATGCTGTGCTATGAATGCAGGCGACAGGGCTACAATATAGTCAGTACGAATCGACTAATGGTATGTAAAGGTAAAGCTATCTCTGTAACAGGCCGTGGAGGCCCATGGGGTTGTGAGACGTCGAGGCTCCCACATTTTCTAGACAATCGGCTCACAGATGGCGGTGAGGTTAAGTAACAGGCCGTGGAGGGCCATAGGGTTGTGAGACGTCGAGGTTCCCACATTTTCTAGATAGTCAGCTCACAAATGGCGGTGAGTTTAAGTTAAATTATACCTATAACAGGCCGTGGAGGCCCATATGGTTGTGAGACGTCGAGGTTCCCACATTTTCTAGACAGCTCACAGATGGTGGTGAGGTTAAGTGAAGCTATACCTGTAACAGGCCGTGGAGGCCCATAGGGTTGTGAGACGTCGAGGCTCCCACATTTTCTAGACAATCGGCTCACAGATGGCGGTGAGGCCAGCATTACGCGCCAGCCGCCCTTTACTCCCCAGGAAGATTCCTTGTACTCAATTCTGTTAGAGGCTGCGTCAACCCCAGGGCCATAGTGCGGCTGAAGGATTAGGTCAATTGAAAAATCCACTGACCTCATCGGAAATCGAACCCGCGACCTTCCGGCTTGTAGCATAGTGCCTCAATCAGCTACGCTACAGCGTGCCCCCTGTAATTGTATGCAGAAATAGTTTATTATGAGTGGGAAAGTGTGGAACCAGCCGCAGGAGCTAGAGAAGGGAGATAGTTAGGGCAATGTGCGAGTCGGATAATGAGGCCGATGATCATGATGGCAGGAATAGCGATCCGCAAAGAAATTGAGATCATTTAGAAAGTGA